TGAGGCTCCTTGCATATAGGGTGCTGTGGAGGGCCCCCTGGAAGAGTACGAGGAGGGTGCGTTCATCGGCCCCCTCGACCTCATCAGTCTCCCTCATCCACCGGTCGATGAATGACCGAAGTGATTCGTCATGCTGCTGCTTGACGGAGAGAAGATGGGTAAAGTATTTTCTTTGCGCGCTTCCTTCCGGCAAAGTGAGTGAGGAAGCGTTGGGCAAGGTCTTGCCACGAGTCTATGCTCCCCTCGGGGAGTGCGTTGAACCACTCATATGCTGGCCCTTCGAGAGTGGAAAGGAACCAACGGCAGGGGTATTCATCTGATGCGTTCACCATCAGCATGTTGTTCCGGTAGCGGCTGAAGTGCTCCTGGGGATCAGAGCGGCCGTCATAGGGCTTGATGGCATTTCCCCGGTACTTCTCGGGGATAGGGGCCGAGAGTACCCTGGCGGTGAAGGGGGTCCTCGTCCTGACCTGGATGATGAGGTCCCCTTGTCCTTCGACCAACTCCCTTTCAAGGATAGTGACCTTGTTCAAAAGGGCGTTGAAGTCGGGATCTCTGGATGAGTTGCCGGTGGGCGTGGCGGCCAGCTGTTTGGCCTCCATCTGGGCGAGCCTCCGCTCGAGTTGGGCGATCACTTCGTCCCTGAGGTCCTTGGCGGCCATGGTGGCGCCCTGAGTTTGCAAGCGGGCTGCATGAGCCGTGTTGATTTGATGACGAGCATCATCCTCATGCAGTTTCCCCTTGCCTTTGTCCAGGCGGGGCCGATCCGCTGTCCGGGATACCGACCCCAAGCTTTCCCCGGGTGAGCCAGGCTCACGCTGCCCAATCCGCCCCGCCATCCTCTCCGAAGCAGGCCAACGACACGTGTCACCTAGCCTGTTAAAGGCTGAGGCTTTTCCACGCGCTGGGGTCGGTCCAGCTCGAAGAGGGGAAGCAGGGTGGGAGTGGGACGACGTCGTGTTCTGGGGCACCACCCCCTCGTCGTTGCCTAGCCTGACGGCCAATGGTTGGGGCTGAGGAGGCGGCGTCGTGTTCTCCCCCGTCCTTGGCATGAGTGCGCTGAGGACGGTGGGGTTCTGGGCCAAGCTGGTGATGATGGCCGAGAGTGCGGCCTGGAGCTGAGGGTCAACGACGGGAGAGGCCGGTTGCGCTGAGGCGTTGTCACCTTTCTCCGCACGCTTTTTCTCCAAGCCGATGCGGGCGTCAGGGGCGCCGCCGTTGAGCTTGTTGCGCAGGTCTCCTGCGAGGTCGATGGCCTCCTGGAAGACATCTACCCCGACAGCCTTGTCGGCCGTAGCGTCCTCCTCGTGCTCTTGGTTCTCCTGTGTCTCAGGGATGGCCTTGCTGAGGAGGTTGCGGTTTGACTTAGTTCTTCCCATTATCAGTTAGCTGTGCTTGGTAGCGACGAAGGAGGCTAACTTGATTGTTCTAGCTCTCAATGAAAGCACCAAATGATAGAGTATTTATTCTAGAGAGAAGGGAGAGCTAGAGAGAGAAGTGAGTTGTATTAATGAATTCTGAACCCTTACAACTACTCCCAGAGGGAGTATTTATAGGAAAAATTAGGGCTGGGCTCCCAAGTCTTGGGCTTGGGAGGCCCATTTACAATAGGGCCACTAATGGGCCGGATATAAAGTACATAGAAAAGATTAAGTATAAAGTCCTATTCTGGAGGCCATCTGTGGCCGATGAGGGCACGACCGACGAGGGCGTGGCCGACGAAGACCCGACCGACGAGGTCACCGGCTCTTCCAGGCTTCTGGATCACGTTCTGGGTAGACTTCTTCTTGACCGATGAGGGTCATCTGGTCGACGAGGGTCCCACCAGGCGGTCGTTGTACCTTCTGTTCTTCCGAGTATGTGGGCCCTGGGGTCCAGACCCATATACTCCATCAATTTAGTATTTACCTATGTTGTAAAAACCGGCTCGTGAAGCGACTTGGCCGCCGAATGACTGGGTCACGGGTCAACCCGGACCCGGAGGGTCAACTTGGTCAACGCCGGAAAACCCGGTCAACATAGATATTAAATTATTATTCTAAGATATACAAGTTTTAACAAAATATAAAATGTATTTTAAATTAAATTGACTATAAATACAAATATGATGCCTATTAAAAAATTAAATGTTAGGTAAATACTTTCAATTATTATAATAATAGTAGTACTTAGTATCTATTAATGGTTTTATATGTTATTATGATTAATTTTATTATTATTATTTAACAAGTACTAGTTAGCTTTTAATGTATTTGACCGAAACACATTAAATACAGTTGAGAACAAACATGAACAAAGAACATACCATGGTTCACTTGTTTGGATGGAGGCTTTTGACTCCATAAACCCGAGTTCGAATCCCTTCGGACGCGTATTTTTGCACAAGATTCCGGGTTCCACGAAAAATCCGGGTTTGGGCCGTCCTGGTTGTGGTCCGGGTCTTGTCGGTTAGCCGGGTAAATCCGGGTTCTGCTGAATTAGTGGTTTGATGAGATATTGACCGAATTGTGCTCGGGGTGACCGGGTTCGAGGACAACCCGCCCGGTCCGAGTCAGGTCTTAAAACATACTTCCCATAGCAAAATGACACGGTTATTTAGGCAATAATTAAATAAAGTACTTCGGATATATTTTGAGAAAATAATTTTAATAGGTATATATTATAATGTAGTTAGTATTGATAACTGTGATGTTATAAATGTATTATTTTAAATATTTAATGATTAATATGTCACTTAAAATTGTTACTTGTTTCCTAAAATGGAAATGAGAACCTTTATATGGGACGTCCATAAAAGGAAAGTGGGAGCCTTCTAATGAGACGGAGAGAGTAGGTATTTACTTCGTGTTTTTTATTGTTGGATACATCCCCATCCCTTACTGTTAGGGATGGACTCGGGTCCGGGCCGGGTACGGGTCGGGCCTAGGCCCGGGCGGGCCGGCGGTTCAAGAATAGTGGACCCGGGACCGGCCCGGGTAGCCACCGGGTCCGGTCCGGGTCCGGACCGGGCCGGGCCTCCGGTTTGGATTTTTTTTTGCTTTCCTAATCCCCCCTCCCCCTCACCCCCACCCTCCCAAACCCCCCCAAACCCATCCTACCCATCAAGCCCAACCCGGGTGGAACCCCAAAAATGAAAAAAAAAATCAATTTGGCTCGGGCCCGGGCCCGACCCGGCCGGGCCGGTTCACCAAAATTGAGACCCGAGCCCGGACCCGCCCTACCCCCCGGGCCTAGGCCCGACCCGGACCCGGACCCGAGAACCGGGCCAGTCCCGGTCCCGCACAATAGCGGGCCGGGCCGGTCCACGGGCCGGGTGGCCCGACCCGAGTCCAACCATACTTACTGTACGTGTCCCCTTACCCATCCCTACTCCACACCACCCCCGCCTACCCGTCCCCGTACTAGATACTCCTTACCCCCACTCCGCCTGTCCTCGTACCCACTACATGTCTCCCGTTACCCATACACCCCACCCTTGGACGGGTAAGGTCAGGATAGAGGTGGGGTTTAGCCGTTTAGGGCCTGTTTGGATGGAGTGTTTGGAAGTGTTAGTAAAGGCCCAGAAGGGAAGTGTAAGTGTTAGACATAATTTTATCTTGTTTGGGAGAGTCAAATGAATGAAGTGTTAATAATGGAAGTGTTAATAATTTTACTTTGAGCCAGAAGAAACGAGTAAGAAGAAGAGATGAAAAAGTCAGACCTGCGACAAAGAGATTCGAAGTGAGATGTCGAAGCATTTTATGTTTTTAGGGTAAATGAGAAGGGTAATAATTGTCCAACACCTCAAAACACTCCAAATCGGGGTGTTAAAAAAGTGGACAATTGAGGTGTTGGGAAGGTTATTATTACCACTTTCTAACCTTTACTAACACTTCTTAACACCTTTTAATTTTTCTCCCAAACAAATGTTAGTATCAACACTTGCTAACACTTCCATTACTAACACTCCCTAACACTCAATCCAAACAAGTCATTAGGGATATGGGTAGGTTAGTAGTAACAGTTGTTATACTGTATGACCGGTATACGGTGAGCACCGTTATACGGACTTCTTTATTTTTTTTCCTTTTGTTTTTAAAAAATGGTAATAACTTTTTTATTTTTGATTCGATTTTTATAAATTTTATATCAACATTTTTTATTTTTCATGATCTTTCAAATGAGACCAATATTGTCTATGTAATTTTAACATATTATCGAACTATTATATTAACCTATGTAAAATATGTAATTTTACGTGTAGAAATATGTAACTCACGTCCAATCATGCCAAATGCAACGCGTGTGTATAAATATGTAACTCTACGTGTAAAAATATGTAACTTTATGTGTAAAAATATGTAACTCGCGTTCAGACAGGTCAAATACCACTGGTGTGTATAAATATGTAACTCGCGTGTAAAAATATGTAACTTTACGTGTAAAAATATGTAAATCACGTTCAGGCAGGCCAAATGTAACCCGTGTGTATAAATATGTAACTTTACGTGTACAAATATGTAACTTTACGTATAAAAATATGTAACTCACATGTATAAATACATAATAAAATAAATTTTCTATATACACAATTTTAAGATAAATTGTGATTCACACAATTATTTTTCAGTATTAAATTAGTTCGATTTTCCTTATAATCCAATACTCATTAATATAATAGTTCGATAATTTCTTAAAATTACATAAGCAATATTGGTCTCATTTGAAAGATCATGAAAAATAAAAAATGTTGATATACTCCCTCCGTCCCTTGAAACTTTGTCATCTTTCCTTTTTGGGACGTCCCAAAAAACTTTGCCACTTTCCATTTGAATCAATTATTTGTGGTTTCTATTGTTTCTCTCTCCTCTGTACAAACCTCAACCACACAGTTTTTACTTTATTATTCTCCGTGTCGGTCAACTTTGGCATAGTTTTAATGGATGAAGATAGTAAATTTCATAAAAAGCGGATCAAAAATAAAAAAAGTTATTAACATTTTTTAAAATCAAAAAGGGAAAAAAATAAAGAAGTCCCGTGCTCACTAATCATACGGTATAATTTGCCTAGCAGTAGGGCTAACTCTAAACAGCATGAAAACCTTCGCAGGTGGCAGGCCCAGCCAGCAAAGATTTCACTTTCATTTTCCAATTTACGTGAATCTTGGAGCTTCGCTACTGTGAGCCACCGCAAAACATCAATATGGCGCTCTTGTTCAAGCGACTAGCCAAGGTGCCGCCGATCGCATTGTCCCAGTATTTTCGATGCAAATCGAGTAAGTCAAGCTTTGCCGGATTTCGCTTCCCCTTTGGAGCTGTTGCGGCGGTGGCCGGTGGAGCCTCCTACTTTTACTTATTCTCTTCGCCCAATTTGGTAATTTCTCATCTCAGCTGCAGACGGTCGTGATGTTTGCATAAAAAATGCAAGTACATAAGACTAGAGGTGAAAGAAAAATGCGGAGGTTTGATTCACGAGGATGGTTTTCTTATTGCTTGATTACATAGACTTTTGGAGTAAATTGTTTTAACAGATTCACATGCAAACACTCTCTGTATTTGTGTTTTGGGACCCTTGTGTAGTGTGTACTTCGGTTTCTATACTGCAAAATGTCTGTTAAATTCCATGCATTCTGTTTCTGTATACATTAATACATGGACTGGCGGCTGGCGCAAAATAGAATACAATCCATGCCCATTGTTTGTGATTGTGCAATGCAATTGCACCTCAGCACACCTCAGCTAATTCCTAGACTAAGGCTTACAAAGGCATTGCGTATAGCGCCGAGTGTGACTTGCACAATATTGCAGTGTGGGGTACTCAATATTGCATACACAATAAGGCACCTGGAGGCGTACACAATGGGATGGACTGTAGGAGGTCAGGGTGTAACGGTATTATTTGGTCCCACGTAGCCCACAATTTAATATTTATAGTTAAAATGTTCCACGATTATGATCCCTATTCCAAACCACTAGATAGTGATGATTCAATTTCTCAGTCATCAATCTAATACTACAACAACAACATCCAAGCCTTAGTCCTAAAAGCCTTAGTAGAATGATGGAAAATAAAAAATGTTAGCATTTAATTTGAAAGAGACTGTGTATAAAAAACTGTATGATCACATCCCACGTTTGTAAGTACTTAGTATTCACCGCATCTATGTTCACCAGGCCTACATTAAGTCATTGAGTTATACTTTTATCATTTAATTTGATAATTCCATCTGAGTTTGTGATCTGGATTTCTCTTTCATTCTTGTACAGACAATCGAGCTAATAATTTTAACATTTTATTTTTTCTAAATGTAGGCATATTTGGATGAAATCAACGAAGATCTAGGTCCTAAAACAGGTAAACATCTTTCTCTGGTCCTTTTTTGACATATTTTAAGTATGATTTTACTCACTAAAGAAGGCACCAAAATGTTGATTACAGCTGGATTTACGTAGGGTTCAATCATGGATTGAACTTGGGTGGACCCTTTATTCTTAATTAATAACCATTTCAGCAAGTATCTATTTTACTTGCCGTCTCTGGTGAAAAAGAGCTTGTTATTGAATCCTGTTTCAGTAGGAATACTATTTTTCTACTAACTATTTTTGTTAATTTCAGCTCTTAATCCTAACCAGTGGATTGAATTTGAGCTGAAAGACAGAGCACCAGTCAGCCATAATACTCATCTGTTCAGGTTAGTTAGTTTTTAGACCAATTCAATAATTCAACAAGGGTGTTATTCACCCATGCACTTAATAGTTAGGGAATGGAGGTGAATTGCTGATAATCAGAGCTAATTTTCATGTTCATAAATCATAACTTAAAAAATTATTCAATACCATTAGAACTAGTGAAAACTGTTTTTCCGGAACACAATGATATGTCAATTAGTTTACTTAAACCATCCTACAGGATTTAATTGTTGTTTTTAAGAATGGGCTTTTGTTGTCAATTTTTACCACTGTCCAATTTTGTCAGTGTTCTTTGTCTTCTAATGATGTTTCTGAGTAGATAAATGTGTGGCAATGTAAGCTTGTATATTTGTACATACACTATTGACCTATAGGGTTTATAGGCTATGCCGCTATAGTAGGCTAAATCATGAATTTTCTGCTCCAGCTGTGTATATTTATGTTCTAGTTTGTGGTATGGTCCATTGATATACTGTATGACGAACATCTGACTATTTGTGGTGTAACCCCTTAACTTCTAGGTTTTCATGCAATCCTAGTGAAAAGCTGGGCCTGGATGTTGCATCATGCATCATTACAAGGTAAGCACAACAATGAGATTTGTTTCTGTGTGACCATCCCACTATTCTAGACAACAAATGGCCATCTTCGCCTTTTCTTATCCGATTTGTTAACATTATAGAGCACCAATTGGACAACAAGATGCTGAAGGAAAACCAAAATATGTCATCCGCCCGTAAGTCTTGGTTTCTCACTAACAGTTTTTGTCTTCCCTCAATGACTCTTCTCTGCTTTTGTGCTTATCTTAACTTATTGTAATTCCTTCGTCCCATATTGGTTGTCTTGTTTTTGTTTGGCACAATTACTAATAAAGTGGTTGAAAAGTAAAAATTGTAGTTGAGATTTGATTAGAATAGAGTGAAATGATATGTAACACATATTTCCTTCCAAAAAGGAAACATAACATTCATTTTGCGACAACCCAAAAAAGAAAGTAAGACAACCATAATGGGACAGAGGGAGTATTAGACTATTAGTTACATTGACTTGTTTTCTTTGGCAAATTTATGATGATGCGCGGAACATGCCAAACCAAAAACAGTGTTAATACCTCTTCCTACCACTTGTGGCCCAAAGCACCCTTTGAGAATATTTGTGATCCTTGTCTTTAGGGTTTAGAACTCAATATATATGGTGTACTACAGAAGTAATATGAGAAATCTAATTATGTAGGAGTAAAACATAAATTGTCATAGTTATCATGACATATGGTGGCAATCATGGCGGTGAGCCACTTTGCTGTGGCGGTGGCACATTTATGGCGTCACAACATGTAAAAAAATACAAATATTAACTATAGCTGATATAGTCATAGTAGTCATGGCGCATGGCGATTGCCATGGCTCAAAATAATAGGAGCAATGTAAAAGGTGTAGTAGTTTGTGTTTAAATGATTAAGTAGGAAAGAGAAAGTGGTAAGGGTAATAAAAATAGGGGTAAAATGGTGTTTTGATTGAAAAAACTTACCAAAAAAAGAAAGAGGGACAAATAATTAAAAACGTCCCAAAAAGGAATATGAGACAATTGATAAAGAACGGAGGGAGTATAAAAAATAATTTAACATGTAAAATGGCTTAAACATTACCTCAACACTTTTGGAAGACAAATACTTCCTCCGTCCCACAATTAAGTCCCTAGTTTGACTCACATGTTTTTATGCAAAATAATTTTTATTGACTTTCCAATTGTGTCCATCCTCAAAATTACGATAGAGAAAACTATCATAGGAGTAAAAAATATTTTAGCACTCAAATATTACCAACAAGAGAAGTGGGAACTTGATTTTTGAACATCCCAGAAAGGAAAGTGAGAACCTAATTGCGGTACAAAGGGAGTAAATGTCTTGTTTTATTTTATTCTAAAAATGTGACTAACTTGTGTTTTAGTTAATTCAAATTCCTTTTTAAGAACCTGGTAATAATCTGAGCACAAACAGTAACAAGCAACACAGATCTGATAAAATGATAGGGAAGATGATGTTTATTGGTAGGAAATATCTCAACGTAGGCAACAAAGGCAACGGGGACTTCTTAGGCAACAAGGCAACACTTGATTCTAAAATAACAGTCTCCCCCATTACGCTACTCCCCTTTCCTATTTATAGCATTAAGTCCACGCAGGGACTAAAATAGCTAAAGTAATTACTAAACTGACCCCCAGCCCCTTTATTTCTCCTTTCAAATACCCTATTAAAAATACTAAATAGGCAGATTCCTAACATTACTCCCCCCTAAATAACCACCTTGCCCTCAAGGTGGGTAATAAGACACAGCCTTGATCTTGAACTTCCTCTTCATCCTGGAACCTCTCCCTTCCCAGTACCTCTTGGTTTTCTGCTCTAGGAGCTTCATTTCTTTCACTTTCATCATCACATTTTCCACAGCCAACAGGGGCATAAACTGGGTATAAAAATTCCCTGGAATTATACTTGAAGCCTCCTCCTTGTAACCAACCTCTTCATGTAAGGGTTCTAAGGCAGTCCTGCTATGAGGCGTTGCAGCTCTAAATGGATCCAGGAACAAACCAGTTTGAACCCTTGTAAGAACTCCCATACCAACTTCAACTGTGTAATCAATTTTCCTCTTCCCCTCAATTCCTTCCAAATTGGAATCCTTCAGCTGAATTCCATCTCCATCCCCTTTTCTGCCTTCCCAGTAGATAAGATAGGCCACACCATTCTCCTGTACAGTTTGTGACGTGGTCTTCAGAGATACCTCCATAGAGTTTGACTTAGGATCCCCTTGAGTTGTCTGACTTATCCCCAGATGATGCCACTTTATGCTCTGCTTCTGAAAGTTAATCTCCACATCCCCCAATCCAGTCAACCAATCCATGCCAAGAACCAAGTCAGCTCCCTCCAACTCCAGCATGTAGAAATCTTGTTGAATGGCAGTTCCCTGCAAGCTCAGAATGAGTTTTTCACACCTGCCCTTGTTGAAGACCCTCTCACCATTCCCAAGCTGCACTTGGTAGCGAGCAATGGTCTGATAAGGGAGGGTTAACTGCTCTACCATTTTCTGGGATATGAAGTTGTGTGAGGCTCCACTATCAATTAGAACATCCACTAGCTTCTCTCCCTTAGCCCATTTCAGAATCCCCTGCACCCTAAAAGCCCTCGTAGAGGGTTTTCCGTCCTGGTTCATGAAGGACAATTGCATGGACTTAAATTCCATGGTGATCTTTTCTTCTTCGGGGATTACCCCTTCTGGGTTAACTATTTCCTCTTCTCCCTCGGAATCCTCCACTAAAATCAGTTTGTAATTCTTCATTTTGCAAGAGTGCCCTCTTCCCCATCTTTCACCACATTTGAAGCAAAGTCCCTTCCGGCTTCTATCTTGGTATTCTTCTTGTGTCAGCTGTGGCCCTACTCTTCTTATGTCTGGGGAATTTATTTCAGTTTCCATCTTCCCATCGGGAGTAAACCAAGGTTGAGTGCCTTGCTGTCCTGAATTCTTTATACCACCAGTCTGGGATCCTGAACTTCCAGCTTTTGGCTTGTATCCCTCACCCCAAACAGGTTGTCTATAGTTCATGGATCCCTTGTCCCTTCCTTCCAGTTTCTCTGTAGTTTTACCCTTAGTGTAAATAGCATCATTTTTCTTCTCAATCGCTTGGGCCTTGTCCATGGTAGCAGCTAGAGATTTGCCATTGAAGAGTTTCAGTTCAGCCTTGATTTCATCCTTGAGGCCATTGATAAAAAGGCCTCTCAGCATACCCCTGTGGCCCTGTCTATGTTCTTCTGTGTAGCTATTACTTTCTCAAACTCATCCCGATAGTCCTCCACAGTTCCAGTCTGTTTCAGGCTCAACATGGCTCCATAGGGATTCTGCAATAAGTCGGGTTGGAACCTACGGATAACCGCATCCTTCAGATTTTCCCAAGTTATCTCCTCGGCCTGTTGTTCCCACCACTGAAACCAATTCAAGGCCCTATCATCCATAGCCACCATTGAAACCTCAACCTTGTCTTCCTCCTCTGTTTTATTCAATCTAAAGTAGTGCTCCATTCTTACTAACCAGTTATAGGCGCCTACTCCATTAAACAATGGCAGATCCACCTTCCGGCCAGTATGGACTCGGCGAGTAGGGATGGGAGAGTGTACAGAATTATCTCTCGAGTACTCTGGGCTGTGCGGTGATCGCGATAGGTGGTGATGTGGTGATCGTGATCGACGGTGATGAGGGGAACGGTGATGCGGTGATCGCGATCTCCCTCTGGACGGGTCCCTCCTGTTCTGATAAGCTGCCATGGATGTAGCGATGTTGTTCTGGATTTGCTCATTCATCGCAACAGTGAGATTCGCGATGGTAGCTCTCATCTCCCGCTCAAAGGCTTCCATGCGTTATTCCATTTTGGATCTCGTTTTTACCATCCACTTCAAAAAACTAGGTTGCAGTCGCTACCTCACAACGATCCTGAAACGAGAAACGATGCAGAAACGAGAACTCTACTGCAGTCGCTACCTCACAACGATCCTGAAACGAGAAACGATGCAGAAACGAGAACTCTACTGCAGTCGCACTTCACCTGCGATCCCCAGGAGCGATTTCTCTGATACCATTGATAAGAACCTGGTAATAATCTGAGCACAAACAGTAACAAGCAACACAGTTCTGATAAAATGATAGGGAAGATGATGTTTATTGGTAGGAAATATCTCAACGTAGGCAACAAAGGCAACGGGGACTTCTTAGGCAACAAGGCAACACTTGATTCTAAAATAACAGTCTCCCCTATTACGCTACTCCCCTTTCCTATTTATAGCATTAAGTCCATGCAGGGACTAAAATAGCTAAAGTAATTACTAAACTGACCCCAGCCCCTTTATTTCTCCTTTCAAATACCCTATTAAAAATACTAAATAGGCAGATTCCTAACATTCCTTTTCTCTCTAACCCCTACCCAAGGTAGTCAAAGCCGTGAGGCACACTCAAGGCGATAGAGTACTCCCATCGCCTTAGGCGCAAGACGCAAAAAAGCGCTCGTCTGACTCATGTAAGGCGCATTGCTTAGAAAATATCACATATACTATTATGTGATTATCAAACATGATGTATATAACATCATATTGAACCAACTACATTAAAAAGGCATGTTTCTATTTTCTAAAAAATAATTCATTATTCACCAAAATAAAGTCATGCATTTGCATCATTATCATTAGCCAAGTAATTGTGTTTTTAAGCCCAATCTGTTTTTGCTGATTTGGCAGCTTCAAGACCCGTGGCTGAAGTTCCACGTTCATGAAACTATTCAATGATTAAATTATATGAAGTGTACATGGACGAAAATATTATAAAAGAAGAAACAGACTTACACATGATAGAGTGATAGTATACATATATATGTTTGCGTTCTATAGTATATAAGAAGTACATGATGGAAAAATAAAGAAAATAGAATGATGAAGATGAGAGTTACACAAGATAGACTAGTAGTATAAATATAAATGATTGAGTTGTATATAGTATATAAGAAGAAGGAGATGCTGAAAAAAGAAAGAAGAAAGAAAATGGAACAATGAAGAGAGTCGCACATGATAGACCATTATACTGGTAAATTACGTATATATGTTTGACTTGTATAGAGTTTATAAGTAGTAGATGCTGAACAAATAAAAAAACAGAGAAAGTGGAACAATGAAGGAGAAGAAAACTTACTGTCATTGATCGTAGA